AATATACACATGTAGGGAAACATCAGTTTTAAAATTGCTCTCAATTCTCTTACCTTGGGAGAGCTAGTGAGTTTATTCAAAATATGCGTCAATTTTGTTTGGCTTTCATTCCTTTAACATATTTATGACCGCCCAATGAAATGAAAAACTAACGTAAAACACCTCTCTACAAATAGGCTTTCATGTACTAGGCCAAGCCTTGCCACACTTGGTTTAAAAAAGTGCGCTTCAAAGGCGTGAGGCGACCTAAGGAAATTTGTTTATCGCATCTCAAACCCTCAGGCGTGGTAGATTCCAAGAGGCGCGCCTCCGACGCCGCCTTTTGCCGCCTTGTGCGCGTCTGAGAGGCAGCCGCTTCTCACGCCTCATGGACTTTTGGCGATTCAAGTTCCAAGTCTATTGGCGATTCAGTTTCTGCTTCTAGATTTTTCGTAGGTCTTATATATTACGAAGGTAAGGTCCCTCACTCCATTAAACTCTAAGTCTCTCTAGTCTTCTCCCCTGTGTCTTCTGCGTTACTTTGCTTTTGAGTTCCGATTTCTTCTTTAATTCTTCCACTCTGTTTGACTGTCTCGATCGCAGCCTCACAGGTATGTATTTTATTCTCTTCTACTCTATGTTCTCTTTTATCTCAATTTTATAAAATTTATAAAATAATTTAAATTAACCTGTTTTATACCTAAGTAGTCCTCCAATTGTAGCAAATTGTTTTTTTAACAAATATGTAAGATTTTTTTTATCATTACCAATTTTATACGGAGTATAATACTATCTCTGTTCCACTATGTTTGGGACAATTCGGTTTACGATGCTTGACCGACGATAAAGTAAACTGATCCCTGTCCGCACTCAAATTATTTTTAGAAAATAAAAATTACATATTTAGAAACTACTTAAAAAACTTTACAAAGTTTCAAAAACCAAAATCAAGTTTGATAAAAATTTGATATATAAAGTAAGAAATTAAGAGTGATTTCTGTTGACCAAGTGAATAGTGTTTGGGACAATTTTAGCGGGATGGAGGAAGTAGTTTATTACAAATTTTATTATTAATTATTTAAATTACTACTTACCAGTTTATCAAAAGATTAGTATTAACAGTTTATTCAACAATTTATCAAAAAATATTACTAGGCAGTAGCCCTCCAATAGTCCAATCAGAGCATATTGTATTTTTTTTGTACAATTTTACTCTAAGATAATAAGATAAACTTCCATGTTTGTCATTGTAATGCCTAGAGTTCAGTAATACGGCAGTAGTCATCCAAATTTCCAATACTAGTGGATTGTTTTTATTTAAGAAATATATAAGACAATTTTTTGTCATAAAAATTACTAGTAATTATTTAAATTACAATTACCAGTTTATCAAAAAATATAAGTAGGCAGTAGCCCTCCAATAGTCCAATCAGAGCATATTGTATTTTTTATTACAATTTTACTCCTATATAAGACAAAGTTGAATGTTTATTACAGTAATGCCTAGAGTTCAGTAATTAATAGTTAGATTGTTTAATTTTTTTTAATTTTTTAATTAATGCCTAGAGTTCAGTAATGTTACTATTTGCTTAAATAGCATATACTATCCTCCGTCTTTAAAAATTGAAACAATTTGACTTTCACATTTGCCAATACACAATTTTAACTGTCTTCGATCGGGAAGACAGTTAAATAATTTTTTGAAGATAACTGCGCCAAATTATACATATAAAACGCAGTTTAAAAATATGTGTAGGCTTTCATGACATTACACAGCTGTACTTGATAAAAGTTTAAAAGTTGTACGGTTGTACCTTCACCAAACATGATATTCTTTTGGAATGGACGGAGTAGCCCTCTAGCATATAATTTTCTAACAATATAAATTTGTCAAACCACCACTTTAATATAATTTGTAAGAAAGGAGATAGAAATGCATGTATAATAACTTGAGATAGCAGGTAATTCCGAAACCATTTATGCGGAATCTTGGCTCTGTTTTACAGGCAATGCAGTTACATGTTCTCTTTTTTCCTTTCTGGCGTCTGAGCTAATGTATAAATCTAATGGACCTTATGTAATATCTCTATAGTATGGAATTAAGGTTCAATCTTGAACAAATTCTGGATCAAAAAAGTATGAATAAGCTACGATATTGATTGCATGAGAAATGGTAAGCCATTACCTCCGAAAACACCTTCACATGGATCACATGCTACACCAATTTCTTTCACTTGAGACAACCCAGGGAAGGAAAACAATCTGTGTTAGTTTCTAATCCTGCTGTGACTGTTCTAAATTCTGAAGAGTGGTTTAGGTGTATTAACATGGTCATAATGTTTTTTTATATCTGTATGTTTATGCTTCAGGCTTTTGTTCCACCATGATCCAATTGATAATTGTGAGCTTATATCATCATTTAAAATGATCTCTCTCAGGGCAGTGCTCTGGCTGCAGCTGGAGGTGGCAGTTTATCAATAAAACTATGGGACACCACTAACTGGCAGCATATCTTTGACCTATCCATCCCCCGTTCAGAAGTGTCAAAGCCTCAAACTGCTGAAAAAAGCAGCACAAAGAAATTTGTCCTCTCCGTAGCCTGGAGCCCTGACGGCAGACTGATAGCCTGTGGTTCAATGGACGGAACAATATCAGTTTTTGACGTCTCACGCGCAAAATTCCTACACTTCTTGGAGGGACATTGCATGCCGGTCCGCTCCCTCGTCTTCTCACCCTCCCTTCATGACTCCCGGATGCTGTTCTCCGCCTCTGATGACGGGCACGTTCACGTGTATGATGCGCTGGGTAAGGCTTTAATCATGCCTTTATCTGGTCATTCAAGTTGGGTTCTGAGCGTTGATGTTTCTCCTGATGGGGGAGCCATTGCGACTGGGTCAAGTGACAAGTCGGTTCGGTTGTGGGATCTTAAGATGAGAGCGGCTTCTCAAATAATGACGACTCACTCGGACCAGGTGTGGGGGGTGGCTTTTGGACCATCTGGGAAAACTGACCGGGGGTCTTGTATGCTTGCCAGTGTGTCAGATGACAAAAGCATTGCCTTCTACCTTTACTCCTAAGTGATTTGCCTTAATGGTTTGTTTGCTTGTGTCCTTTGAAAATGTAATTGATCCTTTTAGTGCAGTCTCACTATCAACCTTTGGGTGTAGTTCCTGCCAATTGGGTATCTGGGTGTGTTTTTCTACCATTTTTTAAAAGGATTGTGTATTTCGAATTGAAGGGAGAGTTGTACACTTGTAGAGATGTATTTCAATCTTTGGATGCATCGGCATTGTTTACTCCAAAGTCCAAACTAACACAGATTAATTGTTTTACCTTTACATTGAATTTACATATGGCAATATGGCATATAGCAATGATACAAACTGTTTTACCCCTAAAAGGCTAAAATGTCATCCAAGAAGTGACTTTCCATGAAGACTTGGGTCTTGGGGTGTGTTAGTGTTAGCTCGTTATTACCCCTAATATGGTATATATCCTTGATACTATTTATTGAAAGGATTACATGTATTTTTAATCTATGTAAGAGAACAGATCCACCCTCCTAGAGCAAGATGCTCACAATTCAATTATTCAAATAGTTAAATTTACTTCACTGTAGCAGTCATGATGTCATATAGTAATGGTACAAACTATTTCACCCCAAGAAGTGATTTTCCATGAAGACTTCAGGGCTTGTTAGTGTTTGCTTGTTATTAGTTATTACCCCTAAAATAGTAGATATTCTTAATTCTTAATACTAATACTAATTATTAAAAGATTATATGTATTTTCAATCTATTTAAGAGAACAGATCCGCTCACTCCTAGAGCAAGAGGCTCACAAATCAAATGGTTAAATTTAGTTTAATCTAACGGTCATGATTCAATTTAGTAGTTCATCTATGTCGTTATCGTTAGATTGAAGTGAAGCCAAAGGTATGGATTAGTTTTATAAATTTACGAGATAGCCTCTATAACAAGCATAACAGCATAAGGGTAGGCCTCTCAATGGGTATGTATATATCAGTTCCAATCAAGACCAACTTTTCTATAATATTTGGATTTAAATTATACTTCGTATTCCGTTTATTTGAACTCGGATAGAGTATGGTACATGTGATCCTATCCTGCAAAGGACCACTGCTCGTATCAAATTATTATCATAACTATATTATTCATATTATACACATCTAACGACTACTTTATACAAATATGACCCATCTTTTGTTATTCGAAAAGTAAATGTTTGTTTTTCTTTTTTAGTTTTATTTATTTTAACGAGATTGATCAGTTTACCAAAGACAGAAGACACAACCCTAAATATTACGTTCTGTGAGATTGATCAGAACCAATCCAACCTGGGTAGGAATCTAGTTCCTACAAATTTAGTCCGGAACCATTCAATTCCACTCTTGCCATTTCTTAAATAGGGATAAAAACGAACCAGAAATCCAGAATCGATTTGAAATCCAAACCAAACTTTATCCAAAAAATCCAATTCTTGTCTCATGTCAAGAGGAAGGGACCAGATCCACCACTAGACTTGTCAGGCTTATCAACCAATTTTTTCACTAAACACATAACTTTTGTTTTCGCGCGCTGAATAGTGTAATAATAAGAAAAAGTAAGGTTGAAGTTACTTTTCTGACTACATTGGCTGAAGTTACTATATTCTATAGATGACTATTTTAGCTATTTTTACATATAGTTTCTTCTTATTAATAAAAAGTATTTTAAAAATATTTTTTTATTAAATCAGCGGAATGAAACAATGCAGCTACTTCAGACATAATTTCATAAATTTCAACAAAGTAAATCAAATTAACCGATTTTCGTGTTACCAAACGGACTCTTAATATTGCTTAAACTACAATTTTAGGGTGCAAGTGGGCAACAATTTGTCTTTCACGTTTGCCAACATTTTGAAAATTCACATTAATAAAAATTTAATAATATTGTATACACAACAATTTAATTACACATATTAGTAAAAAATAATGATCAAAGTAAGATGCGTGAGTAGCATAATGTATTAAATCATAGTACTCATATTACATGTTGACATTTAGCAAATCTATTATGTTTTGTTGTATTTAAATCGACTATAATCATTATGATGATATCAAGCCAGTTGCAAAAAAAATACTCTGTAATAGAACTCATTTAGTATTGGACATTTGGACACCTACAAAACATTGCATCCAATAGCGAAACATGTTGAAACACAAATGGGCAATTGTTAAATAACTGATTCACAGAGTGAAAGATGTTCAAATAAGAGTACTTCAATATCAAAATCAAAGTGTCCAGAACTACAAAGTTCAAAATCCACAAGGTAAGGAAGAAGGTGAAGATTATTAACACACTTAATCTTCATCCTCAGCTTCATTCTCAGCAATGTTGAAGTACCTCAACTCATAGACATTTTTATCCTTGTTTGAAGAAATTACACGGAGCCAGTCACGCACATTGTTCTTCTTTAGGTACTTCTTTGTCAAATATTTCAAATACCTGTTACATTGCAGCACCCATCATTGAGTCAGCAATAAGACACATGTGAGCCAATATGACGGTTGTGTTTGTATTTGTGTTTGCATATGCATGCGAGAAGTGAGTCACTTTAGGAATTATATAAAAAGTTTTTTATGGTAAAAAATTGACAGTGTTTGGCAGAAAAAATAATATTTTTTTCATTCTTAACAAGAAAGTGAAGAGCAGTTCAGATCATACTTCCCTCCAACTTATAGTTGTCCGGTGTGTTTTCAACCTACTTTTAGTTTTTTTGAAAAAAAAACATAGAAGCATTTTTAAAGAAAGTGAACTCCTGAAGACAATTAGTACCTGTCAAAGCAGTACATAATACAATCAAGACTTCATATAAACTTTTGGGTGAAAGAAGATTACTTACAAGGCTACAAGGAAAAGAAAAGATATACCGCAGTTCATTTACTTGGTACATTTGTTTCCTAAAATGCATAATGACACTACAAATATCCTTTAATATTGAAGCTAAACACTCGAAGAGATTGGAATTACAGTCGTTATCCAATGTTTAGCAAGTTGCAACATCACAATGTTTCTATTATGTGTAATTTAACCCCTCATATTGATATTAATATTATAAAAAAAGGATTGAATTAGATGTGGTACAAGCAGGATACAAGGGTCTGTTCTTCCATTCCAAATCCCATCAAAAATTTAAATTTCACCGGGGTCCCTTAGTATTGGACAAAAAGCATAGTGAATACTTCCGAAGGTACAACAACACTCGTTTTGATCTTATCTGAATCTGATCTAAAGGTCTGGTATGGTGTAACAGTAGTATAAAAGGACCAATGCAAGCAAAGAGTGCAAAGGCCTTTGGTTCCAGATGTCCCTCGTCAACATACTGAAACCTTATGAAGGGAAGCTTGGGTTGCAGAACCCTTTGGCTCTAGTCTAAGAGTTTCGATCTTCCTCTTAGTTCTACTCCAGCAAGCTCTGAATTTCGGAAACCTTACTCTGAACAGCATTGCTTTAAAAATTATAATGATTGGGTAGAGAATAATGTAATTAAATTTTAATTAGTTAATAATTAGTATTTGTCTCAGAATTTTGAACATACAGGTCATTTAGGGGATCCAAAAAGCAACACTTCTTGCTGTTAATTCTACCAGAAAAGTTTAAAACAAAAATTGTTGACGTACAAGTAATTTTTAGGGGACAAGTTTTCAAATACTTTCCTAATCTTCGAACTCGAGTTCTTTTATCATGAGGATAAAAAATCCTCTTGTGAAGTACGGGGTATCATATTATCACTTCAGCATTAAAAAGTAACTTATCAAACTAAATGTCTTAAACGTCACAAAATTCAACTTCAAAGAGACAGCTCTACTCAATATAGAGATATAAATGAGAATACCTCTTGGAAAAATTGGAATCGCATGTAACGGTGATTTTAGTCTTTTCTCGAGTGACTGTGACGGAGTCGCCGAGAGCTCCGGCCTTTCCGCCAACCTTAATCCGCTCCTGGAGGAACTTCTCCAGTGAGGCAATGTCCATGATCTTGTCTTCGACTGGCTTGGAGCAGTCGATCACGAAAGCTACTCCCTTCTTCTTCCCTCCCTTGACGACGCCCATGCTCCCTTTGCTCATCTTGACTCTACTTTACCTGCAAACATTTTCAACAAATCATTCGCACAAATACACAGCCAGAGATTTTAAGATGGAGAGATGGAGGGAATTGAACCTGTAACGAGTCGGCGGCGGCGGTTAAGGAATTTCTGCGGCTAAGGAAATGCTGTCAAGAGAAGAAACAGTGATCTGATCAATGGGCTATTCAATATTGTACCGTGTATGAGATCTATTAGTCTGGCCCAAAACAAAGTGTGATAGTAACACTGTAAAGGTTGTTCTCCGCGACTGTTTATCCAAAATGACATCTATTAGTCTGGCCCAAAATAAGGGCACTTATTTTGCCCTTCAATTGGACAATTTTATCCAAAAAGAGCCATGGGTCCCACCATCCATTTATAAGTACGCCGAGTTGTTTTAGGATATGTTTGGTGCAACTTGTTGAAAAGATAATTTTAAGGATGTTTTTACTTGGAATGATTTCAGTCTCAGATCAGATCAGATCGAACTTACACAGATCAGATCAGATCAAACAAGACTTGACTTCCATATTTATAAAATATATAGAGACCAGACGTTTATCAGAACAGACCATACCAATTCAGACCAAATCAGACTAGACCATACTTGAGGAGTGGGATGATGAGGATATATTTAACAACGAAGGAGGACAAAGTCAAGATAACGGAGAAGAAATAGATGGAACACAATGGGGTACTCAGAGCAAACAATATATGACGAATTTACGGGAAGAAATTGCTAATAAATTAGTAGGAAATGTTTAAATTAAATATGTTGTCGTAATACTCTTGAACTTGTTTGGTTGTTTTTGTGAACTTGTTTGCTCAGCAGTTTAATATTATAATAAATTTTATGCAATAACAATATTATCCAGAATAGTCAAAGTAAACAGACAATATAGATTCAGCATTTGTTACAGGCAGAAGGATAAATTGGTAAAATGACATAATTTAGACTATACATTCAGCACACATAGTAAACAACTTGTTATACTAATGGCACTTATTCCAGACAGACGTCTTAATGCAGACAGACATCTTAATCCAGACAGGACTTAATAGAAAAAAAAGTAAACAGGCCCTTAAACAGACTAGGCCAACAAATTACAATCCAAGTACAAACATCCAAAGAGCGTTTTAATAATTGTTACTTTTTTATATAATTGCTAGTTTTTTTGTGACTGAAAAGATCTTAAAAAGAAAAGATTGTAGTTGTTAGACAAAAAAATGATTGTTTGATTTAGGTTTGTTTGGTATAACAAATTGTTGTGACTTATCAGTGTTAAAAACTATTGACTTTCTCCTAGATGCTACTCAAATCCCTTATTGTACAACTAAAGGTTTTAGAGACTTTTAAATATTATAAAAGCTACAAGGCATGAACTTATGCCTACCAAACATGCACTATTATACCCCCTTTCTTCTTTATTAATTGTCTCATCTTTTTTTGTTAGTTCCACTAAGATTGTCTTATACCAAATCGAGTAATATTTGTGTAGTTCAAAACCGTTCTTAAGTTATTTTCAGTTTATAAATTCAATATCAATCGCATAAATTCAATTTTCTTGATAAACACATTATCACCTCGTGTACCCATGTTAGGAGGACGAAGTAGTACTTGTTTTTTGGGATGTGTTTTCTAACTTGTATCTCTTTCTCCTTTTAGTAAGTTTTTCTATCAAAATACCTTTATACCGCTACTCCTATTACTTATACTTTTGTATTCTAAATAAGTTTTTTATATCAAAATACACTTCAATAATACACTTTTATTCTAATTCTTTCCAATCAAAATACACTTTAATAATGTAAAACACACTATCCAAATCAGACCATTCAGATTATATCTTACCAGACTTAAACAAACCAAATCAAAGGTGAGACTAGATCATATCACATCAGAATTTTGCAGTCCAATTGAAAAATCACCAGTTTGTAAAAACTTAGAACATGTTTCATAACTATACATTTTCTATTTATCACCTTCATTAGTCATCACTTATATTAAGAGTCTTTCTTATAACCTCTATTTTCACTTTACCGCCTTATCAGTAATCGGTATACATATATTCTTTTATTCAATGAGAATCTGTCTTTTGATTTCAAGCGTGAAAAGTAAAATTGTTGTAAAATCCTGGGAATAACATGTGTGTGAATTATTCATCCTTGTAAGCAGCATACTCATTAGGACACCAAGCTTTTCCTGATCCTTGTAATGATCCTTGTAACCTAGTTAGAACAGGTGGTTTAATATCACTACAAGAAAAAGGACTTTTAACGACCAAGTTATAGCGACGACTCTCACAAATCGTCGTTAAAAATATCTTTTAACGACTAATAACAAGTTCGTCGTTATATAATTTATCTTTAACGACCACATATAAAAAGTGGTCGTTATTATTTACTCCCTCCGTCCCATATTTATCTTCACAAGTACATTTGCACACATATTAAGATAGTGGGAAATGTGTGGTGGAGAGTTGTGCAGAGGAGAGAGAAATGTGTAAGAATGTGTAAGAATGGTTGTGAACCACAAATTCTCTGCCAAAAAGGGAAAGAGGAGATAAATTAGGGACGGATGAAAAAGGAAAGTATGAAGATAATTCCGGGACGGAGGGAGTACTTAATTGTTGTCGTTGTTAGTAATTTTTTATTTATATATTTCTTAAATTTAAGTTAAGATGAAAAAATTAAAATTGCAAAATTTCAGATCCGCAGCGTTTTAGGTAGAAGCGCCTGGAATTTTTAAATTTAGATTTTAAAATGCGCGGTGCTTTTAGAGCCGCAATTTTTTCAAGTGTTTAAAATGTTTCAGATTTAGAACCATACCGCGAAGAGAAAAGTACGATTCTAAAGGTTAGGGAGTAATTTTGAAATTAAACAAAAATTAAGGATCGTAATATCCGTGTCCAGGTTTCGTAATTGGGCTAGGTTAATAATCATTTCCGGACTCTGGAGTACTACAATTAGAAACACTTTGCCGCCCGCCTTTCTTCTTATTTTCCTGGGGCGCAACTACTCGCACTATCCCGGCTCTATGAAATTCTTGGTCTGTTGAATGTGTTATGTGTGCTTTTTCTGAAACAAGGGTCTGTAAACTCTACCGCTGTCATCCTTCTAGCGGAGTGGTTCCTGGATCGGAAGAGTTTTCCTTCTCTAATGCTAATACCTCAGCGAAATAGATTTTTTTGGAATCCTGGTGCCGTGGTCGCTGCCGCCCAAACAGTTCCCGAGGCCAGATTAGTCACCTGAGCTTTTTGGATCTTTTATCGAACAATTTGTCTGCACAATCAAAGCCTTCTTCTTCTAGGTTACTGGACGAAGGATTTCTTCATCTTTTGGTATTTATTCCCTCCTTATGTGATTAAATTTCTCGAATACCTATTATTCTACATTAATATTAAAACATTTTAAATTTAGGGTTTACGTTCAATGTTTGAAATTTCTATTTGAAGTCGAAATTATTGGTGTTTAGTTTGCCTATTCATAGTATGTTAATTTTTCTTTGTAAATATTTTGATTCCTTTTAGGTAATTGCTTTTGGTTTGGTCTGTGGTGCGGATTTAGAAAAGTAGAATTTCAAATATTCCTATTGTAATCTTTTTAGTTCAACTGATTTTCCACACTTTTTAATACCCGTAGTATCTATTATCTACCTAATGAATATGTGATAAATGTATTCATTGCATTTTGAACTTTTTGTGGATGCTACTTTTAGTAGCTACAAATATGTTAATGTGTTTTTTAGTGTAAAGTAATATTGGTGGTGAAACACAGAAGTAGGGGCTTTTGCAGAGTAGTTTTTCATTTTTTTTAAAAGAGTAGGTTTTCATATGAAACAAAGTCTAGCACTTTTTTTTATATAAAACTCTCCTCTTAAATAAGATATACAAAACTCCCAGCTAGGGGCTGTTTGAGATATTTTACAATGTAATAAAACTACAGTGATAACCTGTACTTTTTTCAACAGCTCCAGTCCAACTTCTATACTTAAAGCAAGTTCATGATTCAAAACAACTACTTAGGATAACAACGGAGAATGTTGATAAAAGAGAATACGAATGTTGATGCTACAAAGCATACATTGGGACAAACTGGGTGCAAGAGTTGGGGCAGGAGTGTGGTTGATTATCTATTATTTATGGTTATTGATATAGTGGTATGATGATTCACCTTTAATAGAGACGAACACTGGTATATATGGCTCTATTTACGACTCATTTTCTCACACACATTAATTGATCTTTTTAAACTTGTGACAGATTTATAGGAAGGCTTCCCTTGCTTATGGTTCTTTGTCAACAATGTTAGGAGACCAGTCCATTTTCTTTGAAAACAGGTGTCTTTTACTCACTAAACAATTCCCTCCTGGCCATTTTCATGTTTTTTGTACAAGGTGCAGGGTTTGGTGTGTTGTTAAAACTGACAGATGTTACTCTATCAGTTTCTGTCGTCGTCCTTGGTTTGCCATCGCTCTAATATGTGGTACTGTGGTCTGATTTATAGTTTCTTTCTTTTCTGTTCTGAAGGTGCTTGTAGATCAACGAAATTAGTTATTTTCATAGTCATACCAAAAAGTCACCTGATTACTTTTATTACTAGTTGGCAATTCTACCCACTCTGCTCTAATGATCAATGGAAGGAGATTAAGATCTCCTCATTGGTCTGGATCTTGTTTTCAACCTTTAAGTAATCCACTCAGTTATATAATTTTGAAATCTTGATCTTGTTGTCGAAAGACATTTTGTTTTCAAACAAATTGTTTTTATCATTTCCGTGTTGACTGAATTTACAAAATGCATGATAGATATTGTTTACCTTGACATGATCATATGATATTAGTGGGGTTACCAGCATTATATATGGCTCTTAACAGGTTGTTTATTCTCATGACACAACACGGTATAGAGTATGAAAAATTCTATGAGAAGCTTTACGCGCTTCTGGATCTCAGTTTTTGTTGCGAAGCATCGGGCAAAGTTCTTTCAGGTTACAGGAAATTCCCTGTTATCTCATATTTATTGTTTGTTGTGTGTGACGTCAAGTGTTGATTTTTCAGATATATAAGGTGGTTATGAACTTGGGAAAGGTTGTGGTTTTATAGCTTTGCAGTATTTGTTTATAAACAGGTTAAATCTGATTGAATAAACAGGTTCATCTATTTTACTTATTGTATAGAAAGGTGATATTTTTTTTGAGTTTTTATATGTATGCTCTTCAGTTGATATCTTCATCTTTTGTTGAGTGTAACTGCAGGAGCAACATTTTTAGGACTGCATCTGGACCGTAGCATTATAGAAGAAACACAAGAAGAATCAGCATTATAAAGAGAGAATTGGCATATTACCCTTGGCGTTTTTTTTAAGTATTTAAGGATGAGAAGTTGGAGCAGATCTGTCCCGTTACTATATTTGTGATTCAGCATTCAGTTTCTCATTTAGCTAATGATACAATTGTAATTATAGAGTTACATATTTTATTTGTCTAGATGATTATTCTATTGTATCAACTTACAATAAATCAATAATTGTTATATGTAAAAAATATTTGTTGTTCGTTCAAATTTATCGGAAGATTAGAAGTTTGATACTATGTGTAAATCAGTTGCTAAATTGCAAGAGTACTTTATTAATTGCATGGAACAGTTAAAGGTATTTCTTTGTATTGTTATTAATTGTTATTGGATAAGAAACAGTGTTAACAATTCTATTCACAATAACGATGATTAAATGTCTTGTCATTTCTAAACAACAATGAAAAATTATGTTGTCGTTACTACATAACGACGGGTGAGTTTTTGGTCGTAAATAAGCAACGACGAGTGAGTTTCTTGTCGTTAATAAGCAACGACGGGATCTTGAGTCGTCGTTAATTATTAACGACGAACTTTGTCATTAAAACCAATAACAACGGAAGCTATAACAACCACTTGACGACGAAAAAAAAGTGGTCGTTAAACGCTTTAACGACCAATATTTGAGCATATATGCTATTGCCACCAAATGTTTAGACTCATCAAATAAGTGACTCGTCATCAAGCTCAACCAGTATAAATAGTGACTTGATGAGGTCTTGTAAATTAATTCAAGCAATTCAGATATTCAGAAATTATCATATATTAAGAAGAAGTTATTTAGAGCTTTTTATCAATATATCTATCTCTTAAATCTGTTCTTCATCTTCTTCATTTCACAACACGTTATCAGCACGAATCTGCTCAAAAATTTTCAAGAAATCATCATCATCTCCTGCAGCTTATGTTTATTTACATATATTGAAGATATGAATCACCCAAGTAATAAAGAGCTATGTCTGATAGACAGCGCCACAACGCACACCATTTTGAGAAATAAAATATATTTTTCTCAAATGACTTTAGTTGAGGCTAAAGTCAATACAATATCAGGTGTTGCGAAGCTCATTGAAGGCTCTGGGAAAGCATATGTGATGCTCCCTAACGGGACAAAAATAATTATAAATGACGCTCTATACTCCAGCAAATCGCGGAGAAATCTATTGAGTTTTAAAGATATGCGTCAAAATGGTTATCACATTGAAACCATGAATGAAAACCAAAAGGAATATCTTTGTCTTACGACAACTAAATCTGGCACTAAATATATTTGTGAAAAAATGCCAGCTTATTCCTCAGGACTATATTTCACATATATTAGTCCATTCGAAATAAATTTGGTTTCTAACGCAAAATTAGATGATCTTACAACATTCATGTTGTGGCATGACCGTTTAGGTCACCCAGGCCATGTAATGATGCATAAAATCATTAAGACTTCACTTGGACACCCATTAAAGAATATAAGGGTTCCAATATCAAGGGATTTTCCTTGTAAGGCCTGTTCTCTTGGCAAAATGATCATCATCAGACCCTCTATGAACAAAATTGCAACTGAATCACCTGCATTTTTAGAAAGGATTCAAGGAGACATTTGTGGGCCGATTGCCCCTCCATGTGGACCATTTCGATATTTTATGGTGTTGATTGATGCTTCAACACGTTGGTCACACGTTAGTCTTTTATCGACTAGAAATTTAGCATTTGCTAAACTCCTTGCTCAAATCATACGATTACGAGCTCATTTTCCGGATCATTCTATAAAAAGAATCCGACTTGATCATGCAGGAGAATTTACATCCCAATCATTTAACGACTATTGTATGTCGATTGGGATTGATGTGGAGCACCCTGTTGCTCATGTCCATACACAAAATGGTCTTGCTGAATCTTTGATTAAACGATTACAATTAATCGCTAGACCATTATTAATGAAGTGTAATTTACCTTCATCAGCTTGGGGACATGCTATTTTGCATGCAGCAAATTTAATTCGGCTTAGACCGACTGCATATCATGAATATTCCCCAATGCAATTAGTTATTGGACAAGAGCCAAACTTAGCCCACATAAAAATATTTGGTTGTGCTGTTTATGTTCCGATTGCTCCACCTCATCGTACAAAAATGGGTCCTCAAAGAAGGTTGAGAATTTACGTTGGATTTGAATCTCCCTCAATAATCAAATATCTTGAACCGATGACTGGTGACTTATTCACCGCACGGTTCGCTGACTGTCATTTCAATGAGACAGTATTCCCAACCTTAGGGGGAGAAACTAATAAATCGGACCCAAGTACGAAAGAAATAACATGGAATGCAACAGGATTATCACACCTTGATTCTAGATCAAATATATGTGAGCAAGAGGTGCAAAAGATAACTCATTTACAAAATGTTGCAAATCAGTTGCCTGATGCATTCACAGATACAAAGAAAGTGACAAAGTCACATATTCCTGCTATGAATGCCCCTGCCAGAATCGAAATCCCATCAGAGAATTCTGAAAAATCTCTTGCAAATGATTCTTCTATACGCAAAAAGCGTGGCAGGCCACTTGGATCGAAAGACATAAAACCAAGAAGATTTAAAAGGCAGGAATTGATCTGTGATGCCAAAGATGTTCATCCTTCTGAACAAGAAAATGAACAATTTGAAAATACTGGCATAGAAAATGATATTGACAAAACAAACATCTCAAATAATGATTCAACTTCCTTAAATGAGGAAGATATTCCAGATACTAATAGAAACGTTGATAATTATGAAATTTCAATAAATTACGTTTCTACTGGAATGCAATGGAATCGAAAAGATATTGATATTAATGAGATATTTGTCTATGCCATTGCCACAAATGTTATGAATAAAAACAATGCCAATGAGCCAACATCAATAGAAGAATGTCGGAAACGACACGATTGGCCAAAATGGAATGAAGCTATTCAGGCTGAATTAAAATCACTTGAAAAACGTGATGTTTTTGGACCGATAGTCCCTACGCCAAAAGGCGTAAAACCTGTGGGTTTTAAATGGGTATTTGTGCGTAAACGCAATGAGAAAAATGAAATTGTTAGATATAAAGCCCGACTTGTTGCCCAAGGTTTTTCTCAAATGCCGGGAATCGATTATGAAGAAACCTATTCTCCAGTAGTTGATGCAACTACATTAAGGTTTCTCATTGGCATGTCTGTTTTTGAAAGGCTGCAAATGCGCCTAATGGATGTAGTGACCGCCTATCTATACGGTTCACTCGATACAGACATTTATATGAAAGTTCCTGGAGGATTTAAAATGCCTGATGCTTATAGCTCGAAACCTCGAGACATGTTTTCCATTAAATTACAGAAGTCATTGTATGGACTAAAACAATCTGGACGAATGTGGTATAATCGTCTCAGTGAATATCTTCTCAAAGAAGGATATAAGAATGATCCAATTAGTCCATGTGTTTTCATTCGGCGATCAAATTCAGGATTCGCCATAATTGCAGTATATGTTGATGATTTAAACATTATTGGAACTCCCGATGAAATTGAAAATACTGCAAAATATCTTATGAAAGAATTTGAAATGAAAGATCTCGGGAGAACCAAATTTTGTCTCGGACTTCAAATTGAGCATTTGAAGAATGGAATTTTCATCCACCAATCCAATTACACCGAGAAAGTGTTGAAGAGATTCTATATGGACAAAGCTCATCCTTTGACTTCACCAATGGTCATTAGATCTCTCAACATACACGATGATCCATTCTGTCCCCGAGAAGACGACGAAGAAATACTCGGTCCCGAAGTACCATATCTCAGTGCTATCGGAGCTTTAATGTATTTAGCTAATAATACTAGACCAGATATTGCATTTTCCGTAAATTTATTAGCTAGGTACAGCTCATGTCCAACAAGACGTCATTGAAATGGGATCAAGCACATATTCCGTTATCTCCGTGGTACAGTTGAACTCGGCCTATTCTACCACAAAGATGCAAAGGCTTCTTTAATCGGATATGCAGACGCTGGATACTTATCAGATCCTCAAAAGGCGAAATCACAAACCGGGTACGCATTTACTTATGGTAACACCGCAATCTCATGGAGATCTATGAAGCAGACATTGACAGCTACATCATCAAATCATTCTGAATTAATTGCACTGTATGAAACCGGGAGAGAATGTGTGTGGCTGCGATCTATGATTCAACACATCCAAGATGAATGTGGTATGAAAGCTATTAGTTGTCACCCGACTGTGATCTACGAAGACAACACCGCATGCATAGCTCAAATTAAAGAAGGCTACATTAAAGGAGACAGAACGAAACACATATCACCAAAATTCTTCTCTACTCATGATCTGGAAAAAGAAGGGACGATCAATATTCAGCAAATCAGATCCAGTGAAAATCCAGCCGATCTCTTCACCAAATCTTTACCCCCGAAGAAGTTCATTGAACTTGTACATAAAATCGGCATGCGCCGCCTTCATAATTTATGTTAAATTCAGGGGGAGTATTTGAATGCACTGCACTCTTTTTCCCTTCATCAGGTTTTTATCCCACTGGGTTTTTCCTGATAAGGTTTTTAACGAGACAGTACATCCAAATACAATGACATTATATGTCGTAATCTTTACCTCTTAACTTTCACACTAATTTTTCATAATAACAAAATAACTATTGAAGGATGAACATTCAAGGGGGAGTGTTGTAAAATCCTGGGAATAACATGTGTGTGAATTATTCATCCTTGTAAGCAGCATACTCATTAGGACACCAAGCTTTTCCTGATCCTTGTAATGATCCTTGTAACCTAGTTAGAACAGGTGGTTTAATATGCTATTGCCACCAAATGTTTAGACTCATCAAATAAGTGACTCATCATCAAGCTCAACCAGTATAAATAGTGACTTGATGAGGTCTTGTAAATTAATTCAAGCAATTCAGATATTCAGAAATTATCATATATTAAGAAGAAGTTATTTAGAGCTTTTTATCAATATATCTATCTCTTAAATCTGTTCTTCATCTTCTTCATTTCACAACAAAAATGAATTTTTTCTTTTAAAATGTGGACTTTGAACGCCCCGTTCTTGAATGACTTGGGCGCAAACACGGCCATGCCTTTATGGAGGCTAGTGACTGTAGTGAGGCCTTATGCCTTGCGGCCTCAAAATTACAAAAAAAAAAAAAAAATAGGCCCCCCAGATTTTAAAACATTAATATGTATAA